AGCGAGTGACTCTGCTGAAGAATCGAAGAGGGCCCCCGGCTTGCCATGGCTGGAAAAGATTGTCTCCAGGTAAACACTCCATTCTTGGTCTGGACCGAGCTGGTGTATCAAGTAGATGGTCTCGATTTCCGTTGTGGGAATGACTTGACCTTCTGATACCAAGCTACCCCCGAACAGAGCAGCGGTATTGGCAAAGAGATGAGGAATGTTATGTTTTCGGAAAGTGAGTTCCCAAGCGAGGCTGGCAACATTCTGCCAGATCTTCAAGCTCGTTGCACGAAGTCTCTCTGCACAGCCTGCGGCTGTGGCGTATCGATTGATTTGATATCCCAGAGTGAGTAATCCGTTCAAGAGTTTCAAAGTCTGGGAAACCCAGGGCTCGGATGTGGCGCTCTCGCATATAGCGATGCCCTGCCAAAGACTGTCGATTGACTCGGTTGTCAATCGGATGAAGGCTTCTAAACCTTGATCATCTACGAAGAAGAGACTCTCATTCGTGTAACTGGTGATCATTTGGACCGAATTTGCAGCTTGACTCAAGAGCTGAGTGCGTTGCTCTGGTGTCGTGTCCGGCATGGCAGTGTCGCCACAGATGACACTGAAGATTTCTTGGAAAGTATCTCGGATGATACCTTCAACCTCTGCGGACCAACCACTAGCATGGAGACTACGTTGCGATATGGGAGTCCTGATAGCATTGTGAGACCTCCCCGGTTGGAACCGATGCGCGGTATCTGCCATAGAGGATATTGTGGTCTTGACAAGATGAATGCGGACACTTGTCGAGCTAGAGAGCATTGGAGTCTTGGAAAAGGTGCTGGATCTTGGAGGGTACCGAATCGCACAGGTGACAATGTCGTAGTCATCTTCTAAGTTCAGACTCTGAAGGCATAGGATATCATGTTGATCAGGATTGTTCGCGTAACGCGTGCCGCGTGAGACAGGACGTTGCTTCCTACGTTTCAAACTTAGTCTCTGCGAAATCCTAATTGGCGAAAAGAGTACTTACTTCAAAGGACGCAATGGGAGAAGAGGCGGCGAGGGAGGAGAGAAGCCTCGCTTCCTGGAGCTTCAGTCAGCATCATCATCAACTTCATGGAGAATTGTTAGGTACGTACTCTGCAGATGGAGACATTGCATCAGCTTCTTGGACCGAAGGTCTTGTAGATGTTTTCTGCAAGGCGTCCTGACGAAGTCGCTTTTGTCTTGCCCGTGCTTGCTTTGGTAGACGCTTTTGGATCGCGAATGGATTGGTTGATGCGAAGGCTGGTCCTTCCGTGCTGTGCTCAACACTTGGAACTTGTTGCCACGAGTTGAAATGATTGCGACGCGAAGCTCCAGGCTTGAAATAGTCGAGAATCGCAGAAGAACGATCAGTAGGGAGGCCAATTGATTCAGCCTGCAATGAACGACTTTGATGGTTTTGAATGCGGCCGAGGGTAGCGTTGGTGCTGCGTTTTAAGAAAGTGAGGTGAGTGGCCGAAAGGTGAACGTCTTCGTGCGAATTGCGTGTTGGAGCGGCAGTATTCCCATGTGTTATGTCGTCGAAGCCGCGCGGCTGGGTCTTTGAGGAGGTCGTGCGGCTGATGATATCTTTGGGTTTGACAGAATGATGTATCTGACGTTGTTCACGTCTCCATGTTCTTACGACTTCGTTCACATCCTCTGTATCTCTCATTGTTGCCAACCTGAAGAACTTCTTTGAAGGGTCTTGCTTCCTTGCTGATCTTTGACGCTTTGCACGTCTCGATGCAATTTTCAAGAACCGTGGCACGTCCTCGTCCCTCAGACCAGGAGCGTCCAAGATCGTCATCTGCGGCTTTCTATGTTTGCGTTTGGTCTTCTTGCGTGGCCGCGCCCCATTGCTTGACAAGGAAGCAGCAGCAGTTCGCGGACTGCGAAGAGAGGGTTCTCGGCGAGAGAGTACCCTGTCTGCATCAAAAGTATTCTTCTTGGACCGAACACCTTGCAGTCGCGGTTGTCCTTTTACTGTGTACGGTCTTCTCTTTTGAGGAGCCAGCATGGCGTCGATGGCGTCGTCTTCAACAACGTCATCCTCGAAGGACTCTGGTCCCTCGTACTCAATTCCCCCCATCTCATCGTCGACTGGCACGGCGGAATCACTCTCTGACGAAAGTTCCAGGTCTGCGACTCCATCTCTCACGGATCTCTGTCTCGCTCTTCCCCCTATCGACGAGATGTGTTGCGCTACGCCTTTCTCCGAGGCCCTCTTGACAGGAGATTGGGCTTGGTTTCGAACAGCACGGGTACCCTTCCATTGCTGCTTCATATCCAGCTTCAGCCAGGATGCCGGCAGAACTCCTTTGATCTTGCGCCGTATTTGTCGAAATTGAAGTCCATCGTTGGTTCGCTCTTCTGATCCTGAAGTTGAAGATGCATCGTCACTGATACTGACAATATCAGTCTCTGAATCAGAGAGGTCAAGGGCTTCGGTGAAATTCCTCTTCGAAACCTGCTTGTCAGACGAAACGAGTGGAGTGGGGAGCACGATGGGTGTGCTGCTTCCAAGTGATATCTCTGGACTGTTGTCCGCTTCGCGGAACTGCGACGAGAGTCCATCGCCAGATCGAGGCGGGGAAGGTGGAATTATGGACTTTGAGCCACCAGTTTTGGATGCCTTCCTAGGAGCTGTACCCTCGTCGGGAAGTTCATAGATCCGAAATCCATTAATCCCTGTCTGTGTCTGCGGCACTGACACACGCTTGGGTCTTTTTAGTCTCGAGATAGACGGGGTTGCAGTCCTATTTTTGAAAATGTCTGAGAGGTCTGGAAGGTCCTCATCGGAATCAGACACAGGAGCAGGTACACGAGGACGCGTTCCACGTATTGGACTTTGAGATTCCTCATCTCCGACGACCACGGGACTCTCATAGCCTTCGTCTAGAGCAGGGCTTGACTGTGGAATTTGACTGTCGGAATGATCCACTTGGCTGCTGTGATAAGCAGTGGTGCCCTGGGAATCATCTTTGGAGCTTTCTCCCACATGTGGAGGTAAGTCTGGAACGCGAACAGGGTTCAAGCCCCTGTCCCTCCAAGTTTGTCTGTACCTTGCGTCCTCAATTGCATAGGGATGAAGCTGGATTGGAGCACGAGGTCGGAAAGACCGTCTCCGTAAGGCGTCAGTAGCAGCGTCTAGCAACAATATATCGTCGGCGGCAATTTGAGAGATCTCCACCTCGGGAAGAACAGCTGGCTGTGAAGGTCTTGAGTGGGTTCTTTTGGGCGAAGTATGCACTGATGAGGGAACCGAAGAAAGAGGGCTGTCATCATCACTGTCGAAACCAAGGACCGCCGACCCAAGGACGTCTTGCACTGTCTGCAGACCCTTTTTGATTTCAGCCTCAAGCCTTGCTGCAGTTGAATTCAAAGGAGAATCAGAAGCCTGCGACAATTCCAGATGGCAAACTTGGGCCCCATCCTGCAGCAAGTTGGCGGTGCCATTTGGTGCAGAATCGTGATAAGTGTCGTGCTTGTCAACGACGGTGTCGCTTTGCTTTGTTCGGCTGTCGTCACCATCAAGGGGGTTGTCGCACCCCTTCACAGACTGCGCATTATTCGAGGCAGTCTCAGAGATTGTCCCACGCGCCGGGCCGCTGTCGAGACTTCCATTCCTGCCGTCTTCTTCTTCGTCGTCGTCAGAGTCTGGCACATATCCACGCTCCCTCCAATTCGCCATCGCCGTTGCTTTCCATGTTCTGCCTTGTTTGCGTGCCGGAGACTGTCGATATTGGTGAAAGCTCTTTGGTTTCTCTGTTGCGCGTCATGAATGGCGAAAGACGCGTCGAGGCTGGAATGATGAGGGGCGCCAAGGCGAGGGTGCGGAATTTCCTCCGATTGGTTCTTGAATTTGTGAGGCTTCCTGCAGACCATTTGATTCCTGTGCCTGCAGGTGACACCCGGCTAAGGATCTTTCAAGAGGACAGAAAATGAGTTATCGGTGGGCTGGTTGGGCACTGGTCATTGGGCTCGGTGTACTCAATGGTGAAGCCATCTCTGACCGGCGCAGAAATCATTGCTGATGTAGCTTTACAGGGTACATGACCTTCAAGCCTGCCTTTGAAGCCCGAGCACTGGAGAAGTTCAAGGAAGAGTTGGTCTATGTTTCCGACAACTACCCGGATGGCTGCTGATACCTTCGCTCGAAATCTAGGGAGCGGGCTGCTTCGGAGCTCGGATCCAACATGATCGAAATTCCAGCGCAGGGAAGCAACCATATTGTCTCTTCAGGCCGAAACACGCTGGGCGCAAGGGGAAATGAGTGATCACCCTACAGACAGGCGTCAAGCTGTAGCGTCAGGCTGTTCGTTTACCTCTTTCCTCTCCGATATTCGATCCAAAAGACGTGACAGATGGTGCGAAGGAGAAGTGAAGATCTACATCGTTACCACCATCCGACAACGAAGGATTGAAGAGCGAGTCGAGACTTGTCCGCATTCCTCATGACGGCAGTTGTGGGAGCACACAGTCCCCAAATCCCGGCCTTCGGATTGATGGAAAGCGGTGCACTTGAGAATTGCTGCGTCCGGAACCCACAGCCACCAGGTGTCAAGAGCAAACAGATCTTGAAGTTTTCAGAAGTGCGGCTATCTGAATAAGATGTGATGGGATCGTGCTTGCTGCCGTGACCAATGGATATTGGGCTACAACAAGGAGATATTCTGACCTATAGGTACAGAGCACTACAAACATCACCGTGATGTTTGAAGAAAGTACTATTGAGACATTGCTCAAGGATTCCAGGACAACCAGTGCCTTCACGTGTAGTTAAATTGCTGCTGACTTGAGAATTCTATGCTAAGAGCTACCGGACTCTGGTAGCTGGTAGTTGATGGCCAAAGCTGCTGGCCAAGTCTTAGGTGTTTGGGATCTTCAGATCCATTAGCCCGTCATCAAGTTCGTCCCAGCCACAGAGATCCTCCTGGCCTTTCACATTCGAGAAGTTGTAGCTGGGCAAGAGATGAAATGCCGTTGACATGCCATCATTCAGTCTCTTGAATGAGCATATTGCTGCTCGAAGGGTATGGCGGGCCAAAGTAACGGCCGACTTTCTTCCCCAACCATTCTTCTGGCACCCCCAGTCTCACGCCCTCTTGCGTGCTGATCCATCTGGTATAGAGTGGATTGGCTCTCTGAGGCAGGTCTTCTTCCTCGTATGGTGATCCAGCCGCAGCAGCAGCAGCCGCTGCCGCAGCCAAGGTCTCTGGCTTTGGAGCAGCGCCTCGCGCTTTTGAGACTTGAGGTTTAAGCTGAGATGCAATCAGCACAAATCAGAGGAAACAGGGATATTTGCGTACCAATCTGTTCAAAGCAGCCGTCTTCTCCTCCTGCACTTTGCGCTTGGTGAGTTCTTTTCGCTTTCTGGCATGTTCGTCCTTCTTCATTGCTTTCTCCTCGTCCGTGAAGAACTAAATCCAGTCAGCGATGAGCCCAACTGCCCGTGACCGATATAGTTTGCATCATACCTTTCGTTGCTGCGGTGCCATATCCAGCGCCATGAGAGTGCCCTGATCCTCTGGCCTACCCCGTTGCCTCTTGGTCAGTCTAGTGATATCAGGAGTGGCAGCACCAGAGGCAGGCGTCTCATCACTGCTATCGTCTAGATCGTCATCGTCATCGTCGTCGTCGTCGACTTCCTCGTCTTCACCTGGAGCATCCTCCTCAACCACAATCTCTTCTTCCTCACCCTCCGCGTCCTCGTCGTGCACGTTTATTGTGGGCTCCTCGTCTTCATCAGAGAGGTCAGATGAATTGCCGACTTCGTCTTCTTCCTCGTCCGACACATCCTCTGATGCATCCTCCATCTCCTGCTCCTCAACAGACTTAAGGGGGCCAACCTTCGCTGGAGTGACGATGAGTTTGGGCTTGGCTGCTGGTTTGTTGTTGGCCGGTGGTTTCAATGTTATCTTTGGTGGTTTGGGAGGAAGATGGCGTCTGGCTGGAGGCGGAGGAGGAGGCGCGTCTTCCATCTCCACGTCTTCATCGTCAGTGCCACCTTCAGGTTCAGCGCCGAGCCGATCGAAGTCGGTAGGCTCCTCTTCCTCGTCCTCGTCTTCATCATCGTCTTCTTCCTCATCCTCGTCCTCGTCTTCTTCATCTTCAATATCGCTCTCACCGTACTCTGCGTACGTCGGCCGCCGGCTACCTCGAGCGCTGGCTCTAGCAGTCAAAGCAGAACGACGACTGCTTCGCGGACCATCGAGAACTTGGCCGCCGCCAAGGGTGTCATGGAGTGATTCAACCTCGTTGGCCCGCATGACTTCTCGCAGCTTGCTTGGAGGAGCCTTGACGGTCAATTTGAGGCTTTGTCGTCTGTCGTCTGCAGAGCCCGCCCCACGTTGAACAGTTGCGGAAGAAACGTTGCTTGCAACAGCTGATGCCCCTGATCGCCGTGGCCTGGACGATGCCGGGGTCGACGCCGCCGAAGAACTAGAAGTTCAATTAGCTCTTGCGCGGACACGAGGTACATAGCATAATGTAGTGAAAGACAGTGTGGAACATGCTGTTATAGCTTATTTTCTCGGTCTCCCAGGAGACGCGACAGAGATTTTGGGCCAAATCAGCGATTACAAGATTGACGCGACTGAATGTGAATCGACGTGTGCCCAGGTAGATATTCACTGTTGAGTCCAGGAGCTGGTCTGATCCTCATTTTGGTGACAATGAGCTGCACCCACAAAAGATCCCAACTGCGACAATGATTGAGCCTTTCCACCAAAAGGTTGTGGAATCAAGGAGGTAAAAGTGTCTTTGCGCACAACGAGAACTGCGCACTTACTCATATCTGCCTGTTCGCCTCATTGAGTCTGTTCTTCTTGGATCATAATCTTCACCGCTGCCCAGATCTGACTCTTCGGTAAAGTCTTCGGTGGCCTCACTAATCTGACGTCGCACACGTCGGCTTCTATCTGTCATGTTTCTCTGAGGTTTCAAGCTCGGCTAAATGCCTAGGTTCTCCGCCTTTGGTGGTATGCGTCTGGCCCTGGATTCTCGTGGAATTCTCGCGTCCGAGGTCGTGTTTTCTGGACTAGATGCGACCCCTGAGATCCAGAAGCAATATTCGCGGCTTTGCACAGGTCTAAACAAATGGTTCGATGATTAAGATTGATTGTCGATGTGACTCAAATCCTGAAATACGTAAGTAGCGAAATATCTGATGCAGCAACTTCCTCAACAATGCAATGCGTGGGAAATGGTTGGTGACTGTGGCTGTTCCCGCCAAACCCAGCTTTGTGGCTGCTGTGGCTGCTGTGGCTAGTGACCCAGCCACAGGGACGAACGGTATCGCCAGCGCCACTTTCGCCGCCATATCAATGAGCCGAGGCTGGCATTCTTCCCCAGTAAGTCTCGGTCATCCTCCAAGTACTGTGTGAAAGTGTCACAGTTTCTCTTCCAAGTGCAACCTCCTCGACTGTATTGACGCACTGTCGCTGGCGCTACAATATGGTCCACGAAGATCCCAAGAAGACTCCCTCCATTCCCTCATGGCAGCAGCAGTACACCTCGGAGCAAAAGGACGGGAACTCTTCTTCGCATGACCAGCCCCCAGATACCAGCACACGGTCACCTCCGCCACCTTCAGAAATACCTCTTCTTGAGCAAGCCCGAAAGTTCCTCGAAGACGAGTCTATACAAAATGCCTCGCGCGAACGCAAAGTTGCGTTCTTGGAGAAGAAAGGTGTACAGACAGAAGAGATAGAAAAGCTTCTTGGACCGGAACACTCAAGTCCTTCGACGCCCTCTGATGAGGACTCTGAACTAAAAACCATACACGACAGTAGCCAAACGCAGGCTTCAGATGGCAAAGAGACGGAGTCAACCACAAAGTCGGTCGGTGAAGAAGCGCGATCGCAATCCACCACAGTTGCGCAGAAGCGCGACGTACCCCCGATCATCACCTATCCAGAATTTCTGCTGAAACCCCAAAAACCGCCTCCGCTGGTCACTTTCGAACGCCTTGCCCATGCAGCCTACGTTTTCGCGGGTGCGTCTGCCTTGACATGGGCCGCAAGCAAATACATTGTGCAGCCCATGATCGAATCCCTCACCGAAGCTCGCCACGACCTTGCAGAAACTGCGAAGACAGACCTTGAAACTCTCAACAAGAAGCTGGAATCCACCGTATCCCATATCCCCTACATACCGAGCAGCACTGCCCTGCAACAGCAAAAAGCTCAAGACGACGACGACGTTGAATCCGTGGATTCAGACCCAACAGAACTGTTCCACCGCGATGTCGCAACACAAACGTCCCCCCGGCCTTCTCGGGCGATGTCATTCTCCTCCTTTCCAGATAACGACCACCTGTACGCGCAAGATCCCACAACGTCACAGTCTTCGCGTTTGCGCTCCTTGCACTCCACGCTCTTCTCTCTGCTCAATTCCCAAAACAATAGCTATTCTCAAGACCGCCTGAAAGATTCTGTGAGTGGCTTTCAAGCCGTCATTGACAAACTCGAAGCAAGTCACAATCCATTTCAGGTCGACTTCATGGGATCATTCTCCAGCTACAGCGGACCGGGCACATCAACTGCGACAGGCACAGATAATAAACAAAAGAAGCAAACGCCCGTCAACGAGGCGACAAAGTTCAGGAACGAGATCCGCGCGCTGAAAGGCGCGTTACTCAGTTCGAGGAATTTCCCAACGGCCAGACCAGCGCAGCCATTCACGTTGCCATCCAGATGAGGGCTGCTGAGCAGGTACTGTATCAGTTGGGAAAGGTCTCTATTTTGCTGGAAGCTATTGCACGGACTACAGAAGTTGTATGATACCCTTTTGAGCTTCCAATGCTTCGAGACAGCCTTAAAATGTTAGTTGGATTTCATTGTAACAAGCGTGCCAATGTTTCAGTAAGGAAACATATTCCCTCGATAGCAAACGAAGAACTCGCCTTTTTCAATTAAGGAAGCAAAATCCCGCTTTTGCTATTGCTACTGTGTCTGCCCATGAAAGCCCCTTTGATGGTGATGTTCTATCCACCCACCTATACCAGGTCCTCTCCGCGTGACAAAGAGAGGCAGGCCAGTCCAACCCACCACGCTGTTGGACACATTATATGCACAGACGGCCTGTTCGAGCCATGTACGCCTCTTTCTGTCTTGAATACTTAGGGTACTCGTCCATGCATGCATGGATAGTTCTGCGAGCATTCTTCTCAAATCTCGTCATTCATTCGTTCGTCTTGTCTACTGAGTATGCATGTATGTAAGTGCCTCCCGTGGACGTACGTATGTCGCTCTACATGGTGGATGATGGTACTCTAGGCTAAAAGACTGGCAGGGCAGGAGAGTGGAAGAATAGCAGAGTAAGAGAAGTTGGTGTTTGTTGCTCGCTCCGCTCCAAATACAAGTCAAGTCGGCCGTCCTGGCAAGGGGTTTGCACTTTCTTAGTCATATCCGCGATATTCTTCTATCCTACCATCCAGCCACCCGCCTTAGCATGGGAAATCGTGTAGTCATGCTCGTCTTCGTAGGAAAACCTTCCCCGTCGTCCTGCTCAGAAAACTTTACCCTCGCCCAGGTCGACATGTCGACAGCCTTCCAAGTGTTGTCAACAACACCTCAAGGGGTGGCTCTGCACATGCCCACCAACCTCTTCACACCCACCATCCACTGTCCGCACTCCTCCACCTTATTCGTATGCACATCCATCTGTATCTCCTGCGCCCTGGTAAAATCCCTTGCTTCTAGTGCTTGCGCTAGCTCAACTAGTTGCGCCACTGTATCCGGTTTAAGCAGATCCTCATTGTTCAGATGATCAAAGAGGATATCTAGCCGTTTCTCGGTATCAACCACTTGTGCTTTAAATGACTGTGGAGCTCGAGCCTTGACACGCGCCATCTCGGACGAGAGGATGGTATAGATTGGTTGGGCAGAAGGGGGAATGTGTGTCCGGTCGCCCTTGGCTGTACGAGAATCCGTTAGTTTCAAAGAATCAGATACGACGACGTTTTCAACTTACGATACTTTCGCGCCGGAGGTGCAGTGGAGGCTTTGTTTGAACCCGCAGTGCCAGGCCGAGACGGTGGTCTTTGGGCTCCTGGCCCACTTCCTGTGGGAGGTGGTCCCGAGGAGATGAATTGTTGCTGGGGTGTCGGTATTGGTGGCGCTGTAGCTGACTGCGGAGTCTGTGTTGGTTGCGGTGGACCGTAGCTCGTCTGCCGCGTTGGTTGTGCTTGCTGGGTCGGGGCGTAGGGGTTTGACGGCGGAGCAGGCGTTTGGAAGGACGAGCCTTGGGGCGGCGGTGCGATCGATGGACGTGTACTAGGAGCAGTCGTATGCTGGCTGCCTCCTGCCGGTGCATATCTGTTGGGGGGTGTAGGAGCGTGAGAAGGAGGTGCGTTGTATGGAGATGGACCCCTGGGGATCGGCGGCGACATGATATTCTGCCCAAGGGGGGGTGATGTCACAGTCGGCGGCGCATAAGGATTGCTTGCCGATGCAGGTCGCTCAAAAGAGGGTTGGCTACCTAGAGGAGACGTTACTCGCGGAGGTGGACCCGTCCCTTTCGGTGGAGGGGGAACTGGCGAGGCTCTCTGTCTCGCACCAAAAGGTGGAGCCGTGGGAGGAGACGTCACTTGCGGCGGTGGTGGGCTGAATGGATTCTGAACAGGCTGCGGTGGGACGCTGGGTGTGCCTCTTCTCGAAGTGGGAGGTTTGACAAACCCTTCCGGGATGTCATTCCAGTTGGACATACTTTTGTCTTGAGATGGCGGAGGAATGGCTGGAGATTGATTGAACCTGGGAGGCGGTTGGATGGGATTTGGCTGTGGGGTGATGTATGGACCAGGGGGAGGAGGGCCGTGAGGCATTCTCATCTGTTGTGGGGGCTGGTAGCTACCGCCGACGGGAGCATATGGATTGGATGGGGTACTGATGGCCGTGGGTGGTGCGTAGGGATTGCTCGGCTGTAGGGCACTTGGGGCGTAGGGAGTCGGAACTTGAGGCGTTGGTGGCGTAAACGCAGTTGTTGGAGGCTGAAATTGTGACATGCCAGGCAGGGGTTTGTTTCTCGTCGTTATAGGGGCAGCTTGAGGAACAGCAGCTGGAGCGGCAGTCTTCTTCCTTGCCTGTTGGATGCGGCTCCTTGCAACATCCGCACCTGGATAGCTTGCTGGAAGCAGATCCAGATATTTCTGGGCAACGTCTAGCTGGCCTGAACCAGCGACAATGTCGGCGTATTCCAGATATTTGCCGTACAAGGCTTCCAGCTTCCACTCCCCGGTTTTAGACAGCTCTCCGTCCTTAAAGTTGACCACTTGTCGGAAGATGGTAACCTTCTCGATGAAGTCTTGAAGACCACGAGCGTGTAGTGAAAATGCTGAAGATGCGTCCGCTTCCGAGGCTCCCGCCTCCTCGTGCTCTTTGAGCTCTTGGATCCAGATGGCGACAACCTTCTCCAGCTTGGAGCCAGCCAAGAAACAGAAAGAAGCATCTTTCCGTGAGACAGGAGAAAGATCATCGGTCTGTTCCTCAATCCTGTCGCCAAGTGCTTCGCAAAGATCTGGAAATTCTTGCTCATCAGCAAACGTGCACAGCGTAGCCATGACTTCCTTCCAATTTGTGAGATCAGCATTGTGAACTGTATCCCATAGATTTTTGCCCACGACCGAAGCGAGTAGGCGCAGGTAGTTGGGTCCGCCAGATTGTTTGGCGAGATATGCTTCCTGAGCTTTCTTGATGCAGGCTTCGCCGCCACAGATAGCGATCATAAAGGCATCCGACATTCGGTTCTCTTGCAAACACACGTCCAGAGCTTTCTCGAATTGTCCCAGTATCAAGGCTCTTGTAATCTGCTTGTCTGCCTGGGACTCGGATCCGGTATATATCTGGAAGGGATTATTAGTCCTGGTACCCTTCGTGGCCGCCAATTCTGCCAAAAAGTCTCCATCGGCGGAGCTTGCGAAAATAGATTGAAACCGTTTGTGAGCTTTTGAGGCGCCGTTGACGGACGGCTTTTGCTCTTCTGAATTGGAATTGTCGTCCTCTGGGGTCTGCTGCTCGACACCATTGGCGCTGTCTTCGGCTTTGTCTTCAAAACCTAGGTATTTCACCAGCTCTGCTCGAGGATTCTTAGATACCAGAGTCTCAATGACCTTCCAATCAGCCTTCTCTTCCTCAGTCCTTGCAGATGCAACCCTGGCCTCACACAGGCTGCTGAGATCACCTGACTGAAGGGCTTTCTCGAAGGTTTCCGTTGCGCTCCCGACATTTGAGTCGACCTCGAATTTGCTGATGCAGATCTTTGAGGCTCTTGATTTCCCAGGGTCTGCTTGTTTCACACTGATGATTCTTCCACCAAAGCCAAAAGACACGGAAACGGGTCGCTCCAGCCACCTCGGTGCCTTGGTAAGGGAGAAAGATGAAGTCTGAGGTTGTGTCTGAGCTCTAGAGAAGAAGTCTTCTCCATCTGCAGCCTGGCTCTGGTCTGTCTGCGTGGTGCTCGGATTGGTGTTCTGTAGAGTCTGGATCTGGAGTTTGCCATCGAAAGACGCGGTCGCAAACATGTTCGGGTTATGAGGGTTCCACCTTGTCTGGAACGTCCAGTTTGTCACAACTGGATAGTCGCCATAGGCATCTCCAGTCTGGGGGTTCCATAGTATGGTTCTGTTATCCTTACCGCAAGATAGCAGGAGGTCGTGATCCTGTGGGCACCAAGCGACCGAAAGAACCCCCGAGTCATGCCCGCGAAGCACCTTTTCGGGCGCGTTAGAGTTTCTCAGATCCCAGACCAAAATGACAGGCTCCTGCTCCAGCGGCACAGCAGTGATCAATCGTGTGGGCTTTTCAGGATCCCAAGCAATAGCACTGGCCGGTTTGCGTTGAAAGTTGTTGAGCGTCAAGCTCTCTTTCCTTGTTTTCATGTCCCATACTGTCACAAATCCTCCGCTACTTCCCGTGACCAGGATATTTGACACTTTCTTGTTCCAATCGAGGCAATCGATATCGTCCGCCCGGGCAGCGGTGCTTCCAAGTCGTATAGGGGTGTCGAGGTGGTTCAGGTCTGAGATGAAGAGTTCTCCCTTGGCACCACCCGTTGCGAGAAAATTCTGTATCTTGGGATTGAACTGTAGGGCCTTGATTGCCCCGCTGTGTATCTTGTGGGTGAAAATGGAGGCTTCTGCCGTGCTCGTGATGGCCTTATCCGCATCCCACAAGCCAAGTAACCCGTTGTCAAATGCTCCAGCAATAATCCCTCTCTTGTGTCCAGCCTGGGCCGGTGTCCAAGCAATGTCGTGAAAGCTGCGACTCGTCAGTAGACGTGCTAACAACGGATAGAACCACGTACCCCGTCTCAGTAGGGATGGTGACGGAGGGCTGCAATTCTTGACTCTGTTCACCACTGTCCAATGCGAGATCCCAAAGTTCTAGACAAGTTTCATTGCTGAAATCGACGTCGACGGCACCAGACTTTGTGCCAGTTGCGATCCAAGACGAGGGCGCATCAGGAGACCACGCGAAAGTCGCTGTGCGTGGAATTTCCCTGAGGCGCACCATGACGGGATGTGGTGCTGGGCTACTTCAAGGGAGGAAGAGAGGTAAACAGGAGTAAAGAAAGGCTAAGTCATGCAGCAGGAAAGAAACAAGCTTCAAGTGAACAGATAGACAGGAGAATCACAATTTAGCAACCAGCTGGTCTCATCTTCCACTCTGATACATCTGAGGATTTCAACTTTCTGATCTGGA